ACTGCTGCACAAAACAAAGAGCCAATCAAAAAAGCTCAATCACAAAATAACCAAAAAAACTGCTTCGTTTGTGGAATTAAAGAGCACAGCATCTTTTATTGTGCTGCTTTCAACAAGCTTCCCATCAAGGAGCGGTGGGAGGCTGTATCAAACGTCAGGCAGTGCTATAACTGCATGTCCTGGGGACACTCCGTACAAAAGTGTCCCTCTAGCTCCAATTGCAGGGAATGACAACCCAAGAGGTAAAGAACGATCAACAACTACGGCTTCGGCCTCGACCAGCACCTCTAGGTGACTAGGAGGCAGCTACGTGTTCCTGGCTACCGCCCTCATCCAAGTGAGGGGAGCTACGACCTGGTACCAAATAAGGTGCCTGCTCGACTCTGGCAGTCAGGTCGAAACTATAAGTGAAGAGGCAGCCCAAATCCTTGGCTTGCCTTTCTCGAAAGCCCAACTGACCATAAATGGGATCAATGGAGGTATCCGTTGTACATGGCGAAAAATTACAACTCGAATCGCAACTAGGAGTGGCGACTTCACAATCACACTACGCGCAGGGGAAATAAGGGTGCCAGCGGGCATTGCATTGGCTGACCCGTCCTTTTATCAAAAGCAACCAGTCGAAATATTGCTTGGATCGCGAATATTCTTCCAAATTATGGGACCCAGATCCATCAATCTGGGTAGCGGATCAATCTTCCAAGAGTCCGCATTTGTCGGCGGACTAGCATCGTTGCAAGTACCACGTCAAGCTACTATGACTGTTATCGCAGCTAAGCCTGAAGCATCAAGAGAGTCAGATTGCGCATCAGCCCCAGATCATAGCGACAAGGATCAAGGACTAGATAATCAGTTCAGGAGTTTTTGGGCGCTTGAGGAGGTGACTTCTGCGGAAGCGAAGCCCTGTAACAGCGCGAATGCATGCGAGGAGCACTTCCAAAAATACACGACGATAGGAGCGGATGGGAAATATGTAGTCCGCCTTCCCTTTAAAAATGAGCCACAGCTATTAGGCCATTCATTTGAGCAGGCCAAACGGCGCTTACTATCCTTGGAAAAATGCCTTGCCCGCCATCAGGAAGTATACAAGCAGTATAGAGAATTCCTAGCTGAAAACCTCGCGATGAATCACATGGAGATAGTCCACCCCAAAGACAAGTCAAAGATTAGGTACTACATACCACACTCTTGTGTAATCAAACCGGATTCCACTTCAACAAAATTACGAGTAGTATTTGACGCCAGCGCTAAAACGTCAAGTAACATATCGCTCAACGACTTTCAACACAGTGGTCCTGTAATACAGCGGGATTTATTCGACCTGCTGTTGGATTTCAGATGCCACGATAAAGTGGCTACAGCCGACATCGCGAAGATGTATCGACAAGCAAATCTCCACGAAGAGGATTTGTTGTTCCAATTCATCCTCTGGAGGATCGATCCCTCCGAGGAAATACAAGTGTACCGATTGAAAACGGTAACGTACGGCGAAGCGGCATCTTTCTTCCTGGCATGCCGAGCGCTTCATGAGGTCGGAGAGGAAATTCGACTCGAACAACCTGAAATTGCTGAGGCTATTCAACAATGCTTCTACGTGGACAACTTCATGATGGGGGGGATATTCCGCCGAAAAACTTTTGGAGAAGCGGAAAGCAGTGGAATCAGCCCTGATGAAGAGAGGTTTTCCTCTAAGCAAGTGGGGGTCCAACGACGTCAACATTCTCGCCGGAGTATCAGACGAGGACTTGGAGAAAGAAATCCGAATCGGGGACCATGACATCATAAAAACATTAGGTGTAGCGTGGTCGCCTAAGGCCGATACGTTCCGATGCATCGCGGATGAACAGGTTTATTCACATGAAAAAATGACTAAACGGCAGCTCACCTCAGAGATATTGAGGCTGTACGATCCACTGGGCATCATGCAGCCAATAATCATCACAACCAAAATCCTTCTTCAAGGACTTTGGAAAATTAAGCTAAAATGGGATGACGAAATCCCCACTGATTCACAACATGAATGGCAACAATTGAAAAAAAAAAAAACACTGCCAAAACTCGCTAGCTTGGAAATTCCCCGCCAGGCGATTCCAAGCAATCCTGTGCACTTGGAACTGCATGGATTCTCAGATGCATCGAACCTGGCTTATGGTTGCGGGATCTATGCGTATTGCATAGACGAGAAAAATCGAATGTCAATGAACTTATTGTGCGCTAAATCTCGAATGGCGCCAATGAAGGATATCACTCTCCCACGAAAAGAGCTTCTGGGAGCAAAGCTGCTGGCGGAATTAATGAACAGAGTGATTTCAATTATACCAGCACACGTTCAGAAAACATACTACTGGTGCGATTCCCAAGTAGTCTTGACTTGGATTCATTCAAGCGTACCCCACAGTGAACTGTACGTTCGCAATAGAATCAACGTTATTCAGTCCCTCACGCATCGAGCGGATTGGTGCTATGTGCCAACGGATCAGAATCCTGCGGACATAGTTTCGAGAGGAATCTCCGTGAGAAAACTTCTAACCACGAAAAAGGATATGTGGCTGCATGCTATGCACTAGAGAACAGGCGGCACGTTGAGGCATACGACGCTCCGCAAGTGATAGCAATCTGTTCATCAACCGACAGAGACAATACATGCAATGAGGTGGAGGACTTAATATCAAGTTACCCGCACCATAACTCGTTCCAGAAAACGCGAAGGCATTTCGCCATCGTCAATCGGGTCATGAACAACTTAATGGCTAAATCGGCGGCCATCAAGAGCCGCGGAGTTGACCGAGAGCCACGTTTCGAGCCCTTAATCGTCATTTAACCGTCGAGTCAGCAGTTTTGGTGCACCCGGCATCAAGAAGGATGGCTTGGATCGGTGCACACGGCACCAGCAGGGTTAGATTCATACTCAAGCTCTGTAATGAAAATTCCAATAAACTTAGTCTTGATCAGAACATCAACCGCGTCGAGTTGTTGATCTATATCAAAGCTTGATTGCGGGAATAGGGTTTCGGCCTATTCCAAAGTTTTGCTAATCCCAGAGTTGTAGTGAACGGCCCTTGCGGGAGCGGGGCCAGCAATTGCTGGAAGCAGAAACAGGTTACAAATCCAAGACGATTAGAAGTAGCTGAGCGACCTTTTAAATAGCTCTGCTGTTTGTTTGTTATATGATTTTTTACTTGCTGAAAATCACCCACATTCTCGTTTTCGTTCGAACCGTATTTTCCATAAAAAAATTTTTTTTGTATGGAAAATATGGTTCGAACGAAAACAAGAATATGGGTGAATATTTGTCGACTACGATTGATTATTTTTTTGTTTTGGATGCAAGAGATAATGTAAATTACAAGATAATTACAAATGTCAGATTTCTAGCCTGATTTGAAAATAGACATAAAAAAAGACGGTTTCCAAAGTTCAGGGAATTTTCCATTTTTCAGAGACATATTGAAAAGGCGTACTAAACGAAAGATAAGTTGTACTGAAAGATTCTTCGAGAAAACAGGTGCATGGTTCTAGTACTTAAGATGCGTCCATTTTTTTAGTGTATTGAGGAGTTCACATTGCCCTAGTTGATTGACAGATATGGTGTTAGAAACTTCGGGAATGAATGCAAAGAAGTCACTGTTGCGGTATTTTCAGAAAATGTGGCATAAGCTTATCGAACAAATTTGAAAAGAGATTGCAGATTCCCGTCGAAATGTATTTGTGACGGAAAATTATTTAATTAAAACAGCAAAAAATGTTATCTTCCATTTAATTCCACTTAATTAATGAATGAAGACTGCACATTGCAGTCGAAATACGTATCTGCCAGCAGCGGATGAACTTCAAAAGGATGCATACCTAGTTGCAGTGGGTTTTTCCGTGCTAATCTCAGAGGTAATCGACAACTTTGAACGAGATGATAAGGATATCTTGTAAGAGGTGGAAAATATTGGGTACGGATTACTCTCTCAATTCCCATAGTGACCGAATAATCAATGAAATGGTATGGCACAGTTCATCTCCCACTATTTTTAAGTTCGCAGAGCCTATAGATACAACGCTGGAATAAGATTTGTCACCACGAAATGAGCAGAATTTACTGTAGTTCTTGAAAGTAACCGCGATGTATGACCAAATAAAATTTACGCAAACTGGGATTAATGGTCGTTTCGTATTAGCACACTTTCACCACGGCACCATTTTTTCCCATTGACGTGAAGCCTCGAGTTAAGCAGCTGCTTATCGATATGTGTTGATGTTTACTTATTGCTCAACAATCCGGCTATCGGAGAAAGCCAATCCAACTCATCCCAGTTAAAACCCTTTATGCACTCACATCAACGGAATGAGACACGCATTCCCAACCACCCGAAATCCACTTTCCATACGCGATAAATTACGACTCACCAGAATTTCTGGGGCCCAGAAATTTATCGCGAAAAGATTCACTCCTCGCACGGATTTTAAAAACGATCAAAAAAAAAACTTCCTGTAGAACCCTTCTTCCATGACGTGCCACATTGGTGCTGCTTTGGCGAAGCTTGTTGAACCACTTCCGGTCGGAAGTGAAATATCACTTCAATATATCATGCAACAATTGTCGCTACACAGCAAAGGGTCTTTCTCTCCGGGTTGGGAATCCGGAGGTCCTAGTTCTTCTTGGTTGGAGTTTTTGCTTCTTCCTTCACTAGAGTCCATTCTCGTCACCGTTGCATGCGTGTGCCGTTCCGTGCCGTGCCGTGGCAGCGGCTCGGTTTATGATAAATGAGTTGGAATTTTTCATATCACGAACCCGGTCTTGGGCTTCGTCCTCGCTCGGTTGGTACAGCTACAGCAGCAGCTGAACCAGCTGTCGGGCACTGTATATTTATTCCCGTGCAAAGATGTTGAATGCTGAATTTTTCCGCTATTTTCAGTTAATCTTATTGTCAAACGAGGTCTTATTCATTTTCCTATTTTTTTTTTGTCTCAATCAATTTCAGATTCGACTTGAGTGAGTTAGTGAGTGGTGAGAATGGATCCTGCCGGGTGGTACACTGGGATCCTCTACACGGTGGCTCTGCTCGCCGTGATACGAACACGATGCGGGGTCGATGGGTGGAAGCTGGATAATCGGAACATTCTCTACACCAATCAGGATGTTTCGTACGAGTGTCCCATCAATACGATGTGCCGGTGTGCCAGTTTGCCGAATGAAACGGCACTGCTCCAGATCAACTGCAATGAGGTCTCGCTGTACAAATTCCCAGGTAAGTGCGTTTGGTGGGTATTTTAATTAGTTATGCTTGTGTCGTCTATGAGGCTCTCATCAGAATGGGGGTACAACCGGTTCAGTGCAAGCTCACAAGCCAATTACGCGTTGCCATCTGGCGTTTACTTATTTTCGTCTACATGTATGCTAGTTGCCTCAAATACCTGAATACAACCGTCAGTGGCAATGCAATGAAGCAAAACAAAATGTGGCTGCCGTGGCTTGTCACTACCGAGACTCTATACCACCGGTGCGGTAACGTTCATCCAGTGGTTGTCTTGACTTCATGGGCGTGAGTGAAGCTTTCTTGTAGGGGGAAAGACAGGAATATTTTGAATTACATGATAATTTGTCTCAGTTCCATTCAGTGGTAAAATGAATCCAGATAGACGGCATCGGTCTTCAACAGAGTTGCATATGTGTCACTGCGACGAAAATTTACCGCTCTATTTTCTTGGAGAACAAATCGCAGTAGTAGTTTTTAGATTTAAGGGCCATCTCTTTCTCAATGTGCTTCACGTGTGCCCCAGTTGTGCCCAGAGTACCAGTCATTGAACTGACATTGTTTTCTTGTGAATAATGGCATGTTTGGCAACCTGGTATTTTGACAGTGTAAATGTTTTATTTTGATAGAAAAATAATCAAAAGTAGTGGAATTGATCTGAGAGAAAAAAAAGTAGAAGGGTCTGTGCCTAGGGGCACGAACGGAAGCTTTACGTAGGACCGCTAGTGAACGGAATAAATGTGAAGAGCATTTAGTTCTTTTAATTGATCAATTATCTATTATCTCAACTCTTTCCGTTTTTGAATTGTAGACGTACCAAATTTGTGGTATTTTTTTTTTTTCAATGAGAAAGTTGATTAAGAGAATCAATCAAAATCACTTGCACTCCTGCTTCCAAGTTTGGTTACAAGATTGCAACTCTGGAGAGCATTTTGTGTGGTTGTTGGGGGCTTGTGGTTCTGAATATGGACAAACAAGCACAGATAAATTCTATTCCAACTCTTTACTGATGGGCCGTTTTATTGAAGAGGACATCCATGGCCACTTACGCTTGGCGTGTTTAGTGCAAGGTTGCAAATACTCATTTCAGCTAAAACAATGTTTTTTTTTAAATTATGAAATAATTAGATGCCATGATCATATTTTGAATTGGTAGGATACAAGAAGAGGTTGCAAAGAATGTGTTTGACATATTAAACCTGTTTATTTCACTTCATGAGAGTCACAATCAGCGATTTTTCACAAACTCAGTAACTCACTCACTCACTCACTCAGCGATCAGAAAATCGCTGATTGTGACTCATAGAATGCAAAATTTACAGGTTTTATATTTTAAACGCATACTTTGTAACCTCTTCTTGTAAGTTACAAGTAAAACATACCATCATACCATCTTTTGGTTTTATTATTCCGAAAAACATTATTTTAGCTGAAATGAGTATTTGCAACCTTGGTTTAGTGTAGGTGACAGCATCACGGATCTCATTTTCCAGGAACACCTTCAGCACGCCTCGTAGATCAGACCCGAGATACGTTTGACACCACCACGGCGAGCCAGACGACCGATGGCGGTTATCTCGAAGAACTTTGCGATGACGCTTGGCACCTCCTTTGCCACGAGCAGTCAATTGTTGCTTGTTGGGTTATAGATGAGTGGACTAGCCGGAGGGGCGACCCCGGCGTAGTGGTTAACATCCATACCTCTCACGCCAAAGTCACGAGTTCAAATCTCACCCCCGGACAAGTCACGAATGACCCAAGAGTGTTAAAGTGACTATAATAAAAAAAAAAAGAAGAGTGGACTAGCCACCACCTTCCTACTGCTACTATTGCTGTTAACCACGCCGTCCGAAGCGAAAATGAGCTAATGCCATACAGCAGCGCTCTTTTCTATTTTCTCAGGTTAAAGCAAAATGATGTGCAACCAAGTGGTATAAAAGCTACAAAGACTCCTCCCATTATGAGTAGTTTGCTATCAAGTAGCGACACTGGCTCTTTTCATTTTGCGTACACGGCGAATGAGAACGACCCAAATTTGAGTTTAATTCCCTCATAATCGCCAAAAGTGCAGGAACTCAGCAAAGAGTAAATTTGTCTCATGGTTTCCTGTGGAAAACCTAAAAAATCTGCCAGAAAATGAGGAAATTGACAAAAATTTTATTCAGTCTCGGAGTGAATCCAATCTTTACTTTCCTCAAATTCGGGAATTTTCCCTGGAAAAACCTGGGAAAACATGAGGAAATTTACTCATCGCTGAGTTCATGCACTTTATTTCTTATTTCTGAGATAACTAAACTCAAATTTGGGTCGATCTCATTCGCCGTGATATCACTTTGAAAGATATCGGCGCCCGTGGTTAGTGTGATTACCTCTCACCCCAGCAGGCCTGGGTCCAATCTCAGTCGGCGCCACCGGCATGTTCTAAGGCATAACATCTATGATCACGCCTTCCTTCGGGAAGTAAAGCCGTTGGTCCCCGGTTGAGTTGATGGGTCGATTGGTAGGGTCCAGGTGTGGGAGTTGCCTCCCTGGCGTCGGTAGCATTGGAGCTCAGTACGGAAAACAAATCTCGCGTCACTTTTCAATAGGTCCTATCTACATTGATCGATTCTCTTCATCAACACTCTCTTTCGTAAATAACTCGGCTTCACAAATTTTTCCGTCGAATTAGATGCTAGATTGTTGCTTCTTCCATCGAAAATATCCGGCCGTGGCGATTCAAAGTTGATCAAGGTTGATCAAAATAATTTGTACCCCTGCTTCCAGTTTGATTACATGAACATTTTGGGTGATCGTTGGTTCTGAATATGGACAAACCGGCAGATGAATTCTATTCCTACTCTTTACTGTAATAAGCTTGGTGGCCATGAAAAGAGCCGTTGTGTTGCCAAAGTTGGTGATGATTTAACCTCCGAAACCAAACAGAGTGCGTCTCTGTCACTTCAAAACGTAGATGACATCCATTGCCGCTTACGCTTGGCATGTTTAGTGTAGGTGACAGCATCACGGATCTCATTTTTCAGGAACACCTTCAGCACACCTCGTAAATTAGACCGGAGATACGTCAGACACTGCCACGGCGAGCCAGACGACGAATGGTGGTTATCTCGAAGAATTTGCGTTTGGTTCTGAATATGGCGATGAGTGTGCAAAATATTACGCAATTCCAAGCTCCGTATTCACACGCGCCCGAGGATCGGGCGCTCAACTTGTTTCGTCTACTTACTTCTCTCTGACGACTGTGCTGGGGATGTAGGTAATTGGTGGATTTGCTAGTTAATTCGACGCTTTTGGACAATGCTGGACATATACCAGTTTTTTCAAAAGTTTCTTGTTGAAAATCAACATTCGGAAGCATTGTTATCGATGCGTAGCCATATTTCTGATCGATTGGTGATAAAATTATTGAAATTGGACCAGGGGCAGCTGAGTTAATAACGTTCAAAATCTTTCTTAATTTGTTACATGTTCCATTTTTGGTTTTCACAACGTTTACCCCCATATAGAAATCAAAGACGTAGTCCTACGTCAAAAAGGAGTGGAATCCGCACCAAGACGGTGATCCAGAGGCACCTCGGTTGGAGAAGTAAATCGCGGATAAACTGATTCGACTGGAGGATCCCTTCAGGAAGGCGATAAAGTTTTACCAACTGCTGCATAATTAGCATCAAAATGCATCTGATGACATTCCACATCGTGACAAATATATTGCTGATGTTGCAATCATTAAAAAGCGCTCACGCTATCGGGCACGGGCATTTACAACATTTAAAGATATTAATCTACCTGCGAAATGAATTTAAAAATCGATATAAAATTGATTTCGTCCTGTTCGTTGATAATACTTATACAAAACATTGTTTAATATATAATATTAGTTAAATAACTTTCGTAGACTTAGTCAATTTCTTAACTCATAATTAAACATGTTGTCATAAATCTCATTAACTATCCGTTCTCTCCCAACAAAATAAATATTGTCATTCAGGTCTGTTGAAATTTGTACATATGCGAAGGAATTGATCATTCATAATAATATAAGTGTCATCGTAGACTAATTTTTTACATATTTCGTGTGTCCTATTCTTATATTGAATATAATTCCACTAGAATTTGTCAGGCAAACGGGAAAGCTTCACATCATCTATTTCTATGCTATTGGATCAAATCAACTTCCATTGTTCGTCATATTTTAAATTTTTGTTATTTGTCTATAATGACAAAAGCGATTCATTATATACCTTCTTGTAATTTATGATCACGCCTTCCTTTGGAAGGGATGTAAATCGTTGTTCCCCGGTTCATGAGTTGATGAGTCGATAGGTAGGGTCCAGATTTGGGAGCTGCCTTCCTGGCGTCGGTAGCATTGGTGCTCAGCACGGAAAACAAGATCGACGGAAAACAAATCAAGGGAAAAAAAAATCTTGTAATGTGTACCACTGGATGATTATTACCAGTTCTGTACTTTAATATGGCTCCATTCGCACTTTATTGACAACTTTTTTCGATTTTGAATCTTGATATCAGACAATAGATTTGAAAAACATTCAGAGTACTAAATTTTATATCATGATATCGAAATAATAGCTAATTTAGTTTATTTTTTTTTCTTGTTTTCCTACCATAGTTATTTTAGCATATTGCTGACTTATTTTGTGTATTATTAACGAAGTTACTAATATCAAACGCATACATGGATTTGTTATCAAGAAAATATTATTTGTTATCTTTTTAATATCCTTCATATACCATTTAGATATCAGTTTTGTTATGATTACTGAGTTGGTTGGAAATGCTAACATGAAGCTTTAGTGTGATGATTTATTAGCTAGAGAATGATCTTTAGAAGAATGTAGGTGGATAGTTCCGTTAGAGTACGGCAGTATGAAAATTGAATAGAAGTTGAAAATGAGCGAAGGGCCATTAAAGCGACAGTTTTCAAGATGACGCACATTTTTGCCTAGCCCGTACGATGTACGCGGGGACTTGAAGTA